TTTCATATAGGCATGCTGCGCCCGTAACAGTTTACCCCTCGGTATTCTGCTCCTAATGTACAGCTCCATAAGCCTCTCCAATGTTTTCAACAGAAACGAGGATAGGCTGATGGGTCTGAAATCTTTTGCACCGACGTGAGAGCTTTTGCCGGCCTTCGGAATAAAAGTAACCTTAACCTGTCTCCAGACCTTCGGGACATGGCCCAGTCTAACACAGTTCGCGTAGATGGGGGCCAGCCAGCTGCATGACATCTTAACCGTACGCTGTAGTTGCACTGGAATAATGCCATCGGGCCCCGGGGACTTAAAGGGTTTGAAGGATTTCAACGCCCAGGTAAGAGGACGATCGTCTAGAAGGTCCAGGAAGGCTGTACAGCCCTCCTGCAGCTCCGCCAGTGGCACTTCTTCAGCAGAGTGATTTAGTGGGAAATGAGCATCCAGGAGTAGCTTCAACGACTCCTCGCTGCTCGTTGTCCAACTACTATCTGCATTTTTTAGATACCCCAATGGAGTAGGATTTTTTGCAAGAATGCGCTTGAACGGGGAGGACTCATGACAGCCCTCTACACTACCGCAGAAGGCTCTTCACGAAGCCCTCTTGGCTTTCTTCAACTCGGACTTGTAAATGGCCATTCCGGCCTTGTACAACGCCCAGTCGTCATTAGAGCCACTTTACAGGCTTTGTTGAAAAGTCTTCTGCTCGAAGATCTGATCTCCGTTAGCTCCGAAGTCCACCAAGGGGTTTCCCTTTGATTTTCTGAGTTCTCAGAGGACAGGAGCTGTCAAGAGTAGTTCTACTAACAGAGCTGAAAACCTCGACTAGCTCATCGACTGCATCCGCAGATAGGATCGAAACCCTATCGGGTGCGGTTGGAAGAGCTGATCGAAGCTTCCTGCAGTACAGAACCCAGTTGGTATTCCTGAAATTTCTATAGGTTTTGAGCTCCGGGCGTGAGGCTTTCAACCCTCCATTCCGATATCAAGGGAGCAATTTCCCTAGAGGCTAGCGTAACGTCAAGGACTTCCGCCCTGCTAGCAGTCACAATGGTATGGCTGTTCCCCCTTTTACATATAGAATGGTCCACACTACAAATAAAATCAAAAAATGATTCACCTATTGCGTTGATGTCCGAGCTCCCCCAGACGAGACGGTGTGCCTTGAATTAGCATCCGAGGCTATTAAGACTTCGGCTCCTTTGAGCCTGGCCTCTGCCAGAGCCCTTCTCACCAGGTACGGAGGTGGCTCCACCGCGTCATCGTGTAGCAGTGACGACATCTGCGTTGCTAAAATTAGGCAAAAGAAAAACGTTAAATTCGTTTCTGATCAACAAGCAGGCTCTGGTTCCACCTGTGCTGTTTGCCGCCAGGAGCTTGTGGTTTTTTGTCCTTGAACCAGAGATACCGTTGCTGCTCAGCCACGGTTCCTGGATAAGGACAACGTCGGCTTCGTCTCGTCCTAGACGAAGCAATAGATCTGCGGAGGCCGCCTTTGAGTGCTGGAGGTTAATTTGGAAGATCCTCATCCTCTAAACTTCTCTCCAGCAGTGCGAGTTCCGCACCATCATCCGTACTATCGACCCCAGTCTCTTCGAACAGCCGCTCGAGACTGAAGACGGATCCATCATCGCCTGGCGATCCGCCCCCCGTGCTCACCACATCCGAGAGGATGGGGTCGATGTCCATTTTCGAGTAGGTCGCTCTCCCACTCTCTTCCACTTCAGCTGGAAGCAGCGGGCCATAAGCCCTAGCTTCAGTTGGGGGAATCCTGAGGACGACCCTCGCGAAGCCATAGCTTATGGCCCCCTTTGCAATCCTGAGAGGAGCGAGGGACTCCTTGTTTAGGAGTGTCAGCGCTCACCGATATGGTCCCTCGGTCCTCTCCAGCCTAACCACCTTCCAGTCTTGGGTGGGAAGAGATGGATTGCAGTACCGCCATATCTCTTCAATTTCGGTCGGGGTAGAGGGTTCGGCCGGAAGCCAGACACCAGCACGAGGTCGCATCGGAAGATCCGATTTGGCCACCGCCTTTAGCCTTGCTCCCTTCCAAACTTCCCCAACCCTGGCTACCGCTTCCTTATATAGGAATGCCGACCGTTCGTCGACACACCTTATAAGTTTGTGTAAGCCGAGGTTCCACTCGGCACTTTCACATCTTGCGGGTGGTCCAGGGCTTCCCCTGACCACCTTCATAAACACAGCGGAGATAGCAGCCGCTACCCGCTTCATGGCTCCATCTCCCCTGCTGCTGTCGTACACCCGGAGCTCTATTGAGCTGGCGAGTTTAGCGATTTCGTTGAAAATCGGTGCGGCTCCGACCCGAGGCTTCTTTCCGAGGGAGGATTCCCCCTCCTGCAACCTCTGTCGCTTCATCGAGGTGTTGGGCTCGCTCGGCCCCACTTTCCCGTCATTAACGTCGCTTAGCACCCTTTTGGCCCACTCAAGTGCGCTAGCATGCTGATCAGATTTCTGGTCAGCCTGCTTGCCACCATAGCGCTCCAAAATCTTGGCAGCCAGCCGACGGCCCGACTTCAGCTTTTTAGCTGTGGTCACGCGCTTCGCCCCGAAACCTTTAGCGTTCGCTGAAGACCCCGCGCCCCGGAGGCGACCTTGGCATTAGCCCATCAGCCATTTCTGCGGGGTGTCACCCCTGCATGCTCAGGTGACAGAATACCACGACCACCAGCCCAAGGTTCAAACCGATCCATCTAAGAGTAAAAGCTATGTCCGTGTCGAGCAAAGGTCAAATCCGTAGGAGTTCTAGAAGAGGCCGTAAAGGCCGCAGGTCATTTAGCGTTATTCAGGATGCACCGCGTGGAGGCGAACCTGCTCTACATCTCAGCCTATAGTTGACTTTTTACCGAAAATATCGGTCAACATAGAACAAGGCGGCAAGATCCACAAAGAAATCTAAAACGAGTATACCATTTGACTTTGCGAGAGTATAAAATGTTCGGTTACCTCCGAACTTAGGCCTTCCTTACTTGTTTATTAAGATTTAAATAGTTTCACTTCAAATAATTTCTAGCAAAGGTTGAATAGTTATCTGCATATATATAATATTTATTACAAAATAACTTTTTGCATGTTCAAAGTATTCTCGAACTATTTTCGAGAACTCTATTTCGAAACATAAAAGTTTATTCTTATAAATATTATTAATTACGTGCGATGAATATAGAAGAAGATGAATACGATCGGAAGGACCATGTGCATAGCGACTTGTCTGCACTTGGGATGTACAACTGGCGTGACCTCCCAAAGAATAGAGGCAACCTGCGAAGTTTTTTGACCGACCGACTCACGGTTGTAGTGGCAAAGAAGAAGAAGTTAACACTGGAATTTTAATATGTGTTTCCCGAGAGTACAGTTGTTCTCAGACAAATAATGAAAAACTAAGTCCATCATATACGAGAACAATCTATACTGATTTTAACATTCTTACTAATTACTTTTTGGCTCCAACCACTTTGTCAATATAATAATAGTATAATCAAAATCGCATGATGCAACAATCAATTGCGGTAACATCACGTTACAACTGTTCAGCTCATTCAGCTGTTATCTCAACTAAAATTTGTGTCGTTTCATTTTTGGCGATCGTGTGTATGTACGAAATTTTCACGTTTGTTTTTTACTCTATTACTTTTATTTCGTTTTTCTAAACAAATGTACCTCATTACAAAAATCAATTCAAAACCCCCAATCTGCGACGTAGTTAACAATCAGATCAAGTTTTTTAGGAGTCAATCGACTGACGGCGATGCGATGGTGAATGCCTTCTTAATGTGCGATTATTGCTGTTTTGATTAATATTTTCTATTGTAAATGAGCGAGTATATGTGCCTACTTAATATTCATACCAGTTTTGAGTTTAGAAATTAATTAAAAAATGGGTAAAGAAAATGTTTCAAACGCAAAAGGGGAATGCGAAACGTGCAAAAGCGTCGACGCCGATCTTGACAACTGAGCACACGTCATACATAAGCTGGCTGAAGGGGACCTGCCGTGAGCTGTCTGGGACTATTGGACTATGTGCCGATAAATATGTATATATAGTATATAAGTATAAGTATATGGTGATAGTTGTGCGCATATTTATGTATATATACTTGTATATGCTTGAATGTATGCATATGTTATCACATTCGGTTTTGAGAATTTATGCCGCCATTAGAATCACGATGCAGTGCGCTTCAACGCTTAAACTTTGAAGCTTAGGATTTCAACGATTCAACAATTTGTCTGTTTCACGCTAATTAGTTGGTTTGCAGTGTAATGATGTGCCGTGTTTCGACGATCACTCCATCACTTTGACGCTCGTGTGGATGGTTAGTGAGATGGCGGGTATTGATTGTGAGCAAACGCTACTTGGGGATGGCAACATGCATACTTTGTGTCATCACATGACATACATACATATGTACGAACAAGCATACAAATATACAGATACACGAACATACATAAATATGTATACAAGCTTGTTGCACATGTTGTTGTTTTGCAAACAAGTGGATTTTCCAATTTGAAAAGCATGAAGAAAACAAAATTCCTTCGAAGCGTTACTCTTGACAAAGGCTAGCAAAATATTTACTTACAATCTAGCAATAAATAATTGACAATTCAGGTGGAGCTGTCTTAACTCTGCCGTCGACGTCTGTCTGTGGAACGTCTGTGGAAACGCCTGACAGTTCGCTGATCTTGACAGAAGCGCAACAGCGGTTGACACTGAATAAATGTTAATATCTACATATATAGTATGTACAATTAGTATATATGTACATACACACAGGCATGCGCTTATATACGCCTTGGATTAGAGGAGCTAAGTGCTGCAGATGATCGCCGTTTTTAATTTTTCGCATACAAACTTGAATTTTGTCGCCATTGTATGTAAATTAGCATGAATTTTTATTGCAATCTTTGTGTTTTTACCAGCAATTGATTTTTAATTATCCAATTCATTAATTTTTTTGTTAATTCTTACCATTTGTATTTTACAGGTTTCACAGCAGTAAACCGCATCTGTTGTTATTTGACTTTTTAGATTTTTCGCTTGGTGCATTTGTCATATAATTCAATTCAAAACGGCGCAGAAATTCAGTCCACTCAAGCGCAAAACCGTTGCAGAGCCGACACATCAACTCCTCAGCAACAATAGTCGCGCACCACTCAGCAACATGTCGCAGTTGATGTTTTGGAACAAACAGAACAACAACAATAACATAAAAAATCAATCAAACGATAGCAATAAAAGCGATAAAAACGGTGCTACGGAGGATGCGAAAAAGGACAAGCGCAATTGGTTGCACACGCCCGATGCGCTTGTGAATGGCCACGTCGTCTATCTAGTCAAGGTGAGTGTGTGCAATAATCAACCAACAACAACCATAAGAGTGTATATGTGTGCTTTTCTAACGTTGAACAACTTTCAGTTCTTTGGTAATTTACCTGTGGAGCAGGCCAAAGGCATTGAAGTGGTTAAAGATGCCATACGCAAGCTGCAGTTTGCCCAGGAGATGAAAAAGGCCGAGACGGGTACACAGGAAAAGTGTAAAAAAGTCGAAATCACCATCAGCGTGGATGGTGTCGCTGTACAAGAGCCACGTACACAGAAGATCCTCCATCAATTCCCGCTTCACAACATTTCGTATTGTGCCGACGAGAAGGGTGTGAAGAAGTTCTTTAGTTTTATTGCCAAAACAGTAAAGCCACTGGATGGCATCAATGGCACCTCCACGGGTAGCAGCAATGGCGTGAGTAGCTCCAACGGCAGTAACAGCACCGGTGGTAGTAATACTGAGGAGACACATGAGTGCTTCGTATTCATATCTAATAAATTGGCGTCGGACATTACACTGACTATAGGGCAGGCGTTCGACTTGGCTTACAAGTAAGTTGTAAAAATTAATTGTTTATAAGTTAGTGTTGCTAATTATTCAAGCAATTTATTGAACATTTTGCTACTGGTTTTCGCGAAGAGTGAAGATAATCTGATCTAAGAGGTCTCATAGTTAGTGTTAGGTTACATATCGGGCGGATTAAGAATGACGAATTTTCCGACTGCGTTAAACTAAATAGAACTATCTAGTTATTTGATTGACAAACACTTTGATTAGTTTTTCTCGATTGCTGTCAAATATCTTCGTAAACTATTGTATTAGCTCTCAATAATGTTAAATTTCGCTTTTCATTGCGTCTTTCATTGTTGGTTAGTTTATGTACTGTTCTGTGGCCATTCTAGATTCCGTTGATAGTCTCCCAATTACCAGTTCCATTGTCTTAAAATTAAACAATATGCATACAAGTAGTGAGACAAAGCTTCTTGACAGGCACCAATTATACGTAGACCAGAGGTTTTGTTGCTCTAGGTATAAGATCGGTTTTGAATATATTTGTGCCCACAGTTCATGAAACTATCAATGCTTTTGTAAGATTTGCTCTCGCTTATTTTTAAGTCTTTATTTTCATTTTACTTAACAAAAATCGGAAAAGATAAAACAAAATAACTGAACTCTTTGTAATTTCTGTTTCGTTTGAAAAATAAGGAGGTATCGAAGTAAATAGAGAGACAAGTGTCGAACTCACACAAGGGCACATTTTATATTTTCATGAATAAGGTCGTAATTTGGACATTTGAAAGCATCAAAATTTGCTTAAATATTTTTTTGTAGATCTATACTATGAAAACAGTTTCTAGAGGAAGGTGAGGTAAAACATCTCGACTGTGCAGTTTTTACTAGACTAAGTTTGAAACATCTTCCCCCTACATACATATGTACGTTCAGTCTTCGCGCAAATGGGCTGGAATCTATTAGTCGCTTCAACATATTCGATAAGGCTCAACGCGACTTGTCGATATACTGAGATATTTGATACACATATAAAAGATTTTATGCTATCACAAAATACAAATATGTTATAATAAGTGTTATATAACTGCTGGCTGAAAGAGACGGCTACTCGAAGAGAAGTTAGAAGACTGCTTTTTTATTCCCTTCAAATGTTCAAGTGCATCTGCCTTGAAACAGTTTCTTAAATTGCAAATAGAATTCTGTCCTGACTATTTTTAATGGACATTATATAATATACGATTCGTCATCTCCCGAGGTGTTCGAGTATTTGTCAAATCTACAGCTCTTTCATTAACAAGTTTACGTCCTTATGGACAGGAATGGAGATAATAAATTTTACCAGAGAGCTTAATAACATTTTACAGAGAGAGAGAAAAAGAGAGCAAAATAATCAAAGTGTCTAATAAGCTATATATCATTTTTAGAATAAATTTCTTTCGTTCCAACATCGTAATTTCCGCAGTTTGATGATTACTTTTATTGCAGCTAGCTGCAGATCCAAGATATCCAATAACCATTACAAATATTAAATAGCACAGATGTCATTTTATGAAAGCCTTTGTACCATTCCACTTGACTCCACAAGACTTCATTAATTCATTGCCGCAGTTCCTTCAATATTTGTAATAATTGTGTGCTTATTAACTCTTATAGAAAATACATCAACAGCGTTGAGAAGACAGACCTGGGTAAGGCGCAGCAGCAGAATTCCGAGCTGGAAAAAGCGCTCGCCATTTACAAGAGTCGACTGCGCGAGTTATCAATGAAACTGCCAAAAACCGAACTGGATTCGATGCTGTTCAAAATGGGCATCCAAGATATACTGGATCTGCCGGCTGCTGAAAATGGTGCGCTAACCAACGGCAACGCCACCAAAGCGAACAGTAAGCCGAAAAACCTGAACTCAAACAAATTAAAAATGTAATCTTTTTTCACGTTGTGTTGTTGTAGTGCTTGAAGATAAACTGTTGATTGACACCAATTCAACGCATTCGATGAAGTCATCGTCGGGTTCGTCATCATCCTTTGTGCCAATTGTGCCGCCACGCAACAATCTACCAAGCCAAATCATACACAAATCGAATAGCCAAAAAATGGAGGAGCTGCTGCTCAACTCCGACTCGGATAGTGACTTTGATCCGCGCGCCGATGAGTGCGTCGACGGTGGCAGCAGCAGCAGCAGCGGTGGCGGCAAGAACATTAGCAACGATCTGTTCGGATTTGAGCCAGCCAAATCGTATGGCCAACAATTGTTTACCAATCAGAATAACAATATCAACAACAACAACGATAGTAAATCAGTGAACAACAACCACAATAGCATTAATTTAAGTTTGAGCAGCGCTAGTGTCGGCAACAACAGCAATAGTTTAAGCAACAACAACTTTACAAGCGATTTAACGCCGCCGTTACGTAAGTGCTCAGCCAATGCTACTTACTTACACACATTCATACATTACATACATATGTGCATATTTAATTTCTCTACAAATTCGGCGCTTTGAAATTTCATTTCCAATTAAAAGTTTTCGTCAATTCATCGGCTCTTGCTTATGTAGTATATGTGGGTATATCACATGTATACATGTATATATGTATGGATTGGTGTTTTTGTACAGTTCATTTTAAACAAATTGTTGGCTTGTTTTGTTTTATTTGTGTATAATTGTTTAGTTGTTTGTTTCGTTAATGATTATTTTTATCTGTTCTCTTTTCGCGCTTTATCTCGGTCGTATAGTGGCACCTCCGCCTAAAGTGGCCGCACCTAGACGCAGTACATCGGTCACGAACAGCATCACGAGCACAAACAACAATAATAACGTAGCCCTGACCAACGGCAATACAGATTTATTCGGCTCGGATCCATTCGAAATAAATAATGGACCCAGTATTTTCAAGGTGAGCGTTAATGCTGATGATGCTGCTACTATTAGCCGCCACTTTACTATACTTCGCTATTTGTTTCATTATGTTTACTTTATTTATAACATTTTATTCTTTCATAAACTACATGAGTTTCGTGTTCATTATCAGATGATATAATGGCCTTTAGCATATTTAACAATGACATTGCTAACTCTTTTATGTAAAATATTACGCGCAATTCAAAGCTTAAATAGTTTGATTCTTAGATTCTCATATACCAATGTACCTAATACTATTTCGATGGAAAGCTCTGAATGCACATCGGCACTAGCAGCAATTATAGGAACGTGCCTCGGAAAAAGTAGAATTGCTGTGCCCCTCATAGCTTGGTGCCGAAATCAAAAAATTAAGGTTCATTCGTTAGTTAAAAGTTTTCCCAGGTAACGCCGAGAGGATTAATTTTTCGCGATTAAGTGTAATCAATGACGGACGGAGTTCAATCGGTCATTCCGGTATTTTCCGGTCAACAAAAGTAATTTTGTGAATTTAATTGTTCACCGTCTTCGGTGTTTATGGAGCTCATATGAAATTTAACAAAGCTCGACGAATGGTTGATTCAGCTATTATGTCTAAAAAATATATATTCAATTCTAGTAGTAGAAATTTTAAGCATGTAGGTTAGATATTTTTGCGAACCTTATGAAAGACTTATGGAAGATCACAAATTGCTGATAAAATCACTAAATTTTCTCTTTAAATTGCAGGGTTTTATTACCATTATACCGGGTATATTAAGTTTGCCACTAAGTTTGTAATATCCTGAAGGAAACGTAGAAGACCCTATAAAATATAAATGTATATTATATAAATGATCAGAGTTGAGATTATTTAGCCATATCCGTCTGTCTGTCTATTCGAAAACTAGTCCTCAGTTTTTGAGTTATCGCACTAAAATTTTGCACACATCCTTTTCTCTCCAAGAAGCTGCTCATTTGAGTATATATTTAACAAGATATCTTCACGTAATTTCGCATGGATTATAATCCGAAGCTATACTACAATATCCGAAAAAAATGTTCAGATCGATCCGATCAAAATTAAGTTTTTTTTTAGAAACTGTTTTATTTGTGAAGGGTAGTCTAGCCTCGGTGCAACTGAAGTTAACGTTGTTTCTAGTTTTATTTCAAGTTTTGAGGTTTTTCAATATTTACAAGTGGCACCTGAATCCATTATATCGGCCTAAGCCATACGCAGAATTTACGAAACAATTAATTTTGCTTGTGTGTGAATAAATTGAATGGGTGATTGTTAGATTTATTGGGTTAGTAAAATTATACAAATAATGATGGTTTCACACGATTTTTTAAATCGAATTTAATTAATTTTTTAAATCGACTAAAGACAACATGGAAAATATTAATTTTTATTTATAACGGCTTGTTCGTGGAGTAATTTCATCAATCAATAAGTTTCGGGATCTTATTTGGAACTATGGTATTATCCAAAATGTTTTAATTAAAAAATTTGCAACCCTATATTTAAGTTTCAAAGTTGGAATTGACAAAGTTGTTTGAAAGCAAAATTGATAAAATACAAATCGTTTTAATCTGTAAATGCACCGACCAGTATACTCTGTGCACCATATTGCCAGAGTTTAAAAATATGAATTAAGGAATAAACTTGCACTAACAGATTTTTACTTGTATTTAATGTTTTTATTATTTAGTAGGGGATGATTATTATCTATTAGTCTAAAATAGTTAACCAAGCTTTTATTGAAAGCAAAAGCTTTTTAAGTACGTATTCCTCATTTCTATTAATTTCAGAGCAAGATGATGAGCGTAGATGACTTCACGTTGGAGAGTTTGGATCCACTGCGAAAGTAAGCCGGTCGCGCCACCCTGTGCGTCGTCGAAACCTCTTTATATTGATTATGTGAACTCTCCAATAAATGCTTCCAACTCTAAATGAACCTTCAGAATAACTAATATAATCGTACAGCTGCAAGGCATGCGATCCAGGCATTCATTTGGAGGCATATCTAGTATTTTCAGTGCCGAAGCGATACAAATGCATAAAACTGTAATATGTTTGCATCGAATATTTGTATACCTTTACTTACACACATACATACAAGCAGATATAGATTTTGTGTATATATGAATGCATTAGATAAATATTAAGTAAGATTAACCCGCTTGTGAGAACACGGCCTTACAGTGATACACGCACTTAGAGAGCATATACGAAGGCGGTACGATCGGTCATCATATGTGTATATAATTATTATGTAGTTTCAGTCTGAAATTTCAACTAAATTCGTGTTTCCTTCAAATAACTGTATTATCTCCTATTTGCAAGTATTTGTTTGTGTTTTCTCCTTTATCTCTCTTTAATTGAACCATTTACCAAGGGCTTAAGTCCCACAACTTCTCTATAAAGTGTAGTTTTTGCGCTCGTTAGTTTTCCGCTAATAATGACCCCATAAATATGATAAATGATGTGTATAAAATTATTTTATTTATTACGTTTTCTATGAATATAAATATTATATAGGTATGTATGTATATGTATCGAATCTATTGATTTAATTATTTCATTTCAATTATTATCAAATTACGATTATTGATTATGATGATGATGAATTATTTAATTATGATACAGTTTAATGATGATGATTTGCTGTTAAAGAAAAATTGAAGCTTTTGACCATCCCGCCCCTCTTAAAATCGTTGATGTACAATACTAATATTTGTTAGGAATCTACCTCCCCTTAACCAAAACACTCTCCCACACACACACATATATATATAAAGCAAAACAGTTATAATCATTATGTTAGCTATGATCACTATTACGAATATTTTAAAAGTTTATGTAAAATAATTTAAAATATGTGCTTTGTCCGTATATTAAAAATGTTAATAATTGAAATTGAACACATACACACACACACACACACACATGTCTATCATAAATAATGTTTATACAAAATGCTTTGTTATATAATGAGTATGAAATTAGTTGATTTCGATGATTGATAATGATTATGTTTATGGTAATGATATTGATGTAGATGGTGATTATTATTATTATTATTATTATTATTACTATTATTATTTTGTACGTTGTACGTTATTTACTAGTGAAGTATATAAATAAAGAAATAAAAAACAATAAATGTGGAAATGGCGTTTATTTATTTATTTCATTTTTGTTTTCAGCTGGGAAGTTTTTACTGATATTTCAATATTTAATGTTTTTCTATTTTTTATATTTTTTATATTTATCTACTACAACGATAAAAAATTGTATAAAACTGTTTCGTGAAAAAAGCAAATCAGTTGCACTTATTTATGCAATTGCTACAACTAAAATTACTATAAAAACTAATTTTTATATAATAACAATGCCATATTTTTAGTAAAAACAATTATAATATGCTATTGATAATATAATTAATATAAATATAAATTAATCACACAACTTCTTAAGCGTTTACATTTAATGTTAAAAAAGTGATTTTTCTCTACTAAGAAATTATTAATTTTTGCTCTAAATTGTTTAAACTGAGACTGTGACCCACACGCCATAAACGAAACGACTTGTCAAACTTTTACAGCAATTGTCTTAAAGCCTTTGGCTCCTTCTGTTCAATACGTCAATGAATTTTTCACTCAAACGCACTCCAAAATAAGTAACGGTTCGAAACTCTCATAGCCTCTAGTTCGATGATTTTGAGTAAAGCAGAATTCTGCTTTCAATGAAGGGTTAAAACAATTGGCTGTTATTGAATCCTTGCATCACTTAGAATGTAAATACAAAATATTAATGAAGTAGTTAAGTCAATTTAAAAAATGACAAAAGTTTCCATGCTGAATTAAAACTTTGATCAACACTTTCAATCGATGTTAAAGTTCAAATTCAATTCATAATGTATGTTAATCTAGGGGTTAGGGGAGTCAGTTTAATTAAAAATTTGAAATTTAGTTGAAATTTTTGAAAGCATGCAAAACTTGTGCTGATCGAAGGAATTTTTTTTACTTTATATTTTTTTTTAAACTGTTGGTTTTTTCCTGGATAAAATTTTCCTGAGTCCGTCATTTTGTTAATTTAAAAAAAAGCCTCTATTCAGGCATTAAATTATCTATGTTATTAATAAAACTAATTATTTTTTGTCTGATTGAATTTAGGTTAATCTCCAAAGATTAACATAGTGAATGTAAATGTTCTTAGGTGCAAATGAAAATGTTGAGATATGAGATCATTTATTTATTTTTTTTGACTGAGCGGGAAATGGATAGTGAGCAAGATATTTGGAACTGTTAAATCATGATTATACTTTTATATTTCCAGCCAGTCTATTTGAACTGCTTTTAGTAAAAGTCATTATTATTTGAAGTCTGCCTTGGTTGGAATTTCAACCCGCTGGCCACAGAGCGAGAGTTATGCACTCAATATTTAAAATTATGGCGTTGGTATCTAAGTTAGGTCTATCTTTTCTTCTATCTTTCAAATTTATAATCAATTTCTATATCAACATCAAATAAGTTAAATATTTGCCTTTCTATTCGTTTGCCATTTTATCTATTCTTTTAAATATTTAATGTATAATATCTCAAGAATGTAGTCTCTAAATTTCCGATCCAAATTGAAGAAGTTATGGCTGTTTTTAAACCTGTCTTTAATTTAAAACATTAAAGCGTTTTCCTCACAACTCACGTTTTCAAAGTCGGCGCCCCTCAAAACTTTACAACTACACTATTTCTATATATAATTTACGAGGTAACGCTGGAGAGTTTTTTCTTAATATATTTCATTACACAATAACAAATTAACCGATTTTTTCGCAAAAGATCGATTTTTTTCCTTAAAAGTGTTCTAAAAAATTTTTAATTTGGTATTTTGAGAGAAACCCTCTCGGCATTACCTGGGGAATCTATTTACTAACGAACGAATCTTGATTTTTTGATTTCGGATGATCCAGCACCATTTCGAATGAGAGGCACCGCAAACCTACTTTTTTCAGATACGCTCGAGAATAATGGCTGCTATTGCCCTATTTTTTAATATTTCTCTATTTATTTAACAGATGTGAAGAATACTATAATGTACCATTAGTATTAAAAAAACCTTAAAAACACCCTTGTTTTACACGAAATAATCTAACTCTATTGTTAACCAACCTTTTAATAGATAGTGGCGGATATGTTTAGATTAGACTTACAGAAATATCTAACTATGACAGTCCAAAAATATGAATCACCTACTCGAATTTGACAATTTTCAGGTGACAGAAAGCATGTCATACTATAATTCCACATGTATATACGTATTATTTCGAGGCGTCGTTTTTATACTCTGAACCACCGTTGTCGGACGACTATAAGATTAACCTGCCCTACAAATTGATGGATCAAACTCAAGTCCTTGTGTGGAAAACTTTTTTATTTGACAAGGTGACTTCACGATATCTGGAATAGAATGCTGCCCAAAGCAACATTACAATATCCGAAAAAGTTTTCAAATCGGACCACTACAGCATATACCACTCAAACTGATCGATTAAAAGCAAGCTAAAGATTTTTTTGTACCCTTTTAAGCTTAAATGAAATTGTGAAGGGTACCGAAATTTATATTTTTTCTTATTTTATTTATATATGTATATTGGGGTGGAGTGAAAAAAAATTTTTTTTTCTTAGCATGAGGGTAAAACTTAGAGATTATAAAAAAAGAAAATTTTTGGAAAAAAAAAATGTTTAACATATGAAGTAAATTTCGAGTTTCAAATTTTTTTGATTTAAACTCTTTACATTTACATAAAAATTACTGAATTTGACAGTTTTTGACTTAAAATTTATTTTAACGCTTAAGGAAAGTATGTTGTCGTTTAAGACTTTCTTTTAAAACTTCAATTATGACCACAAACAATTTTTTAATTTGATAGCTTCTAGAACACTTTTACAAAATAAAAATTTTAACTCGAAATTTACTTTAAAAGTGAGTGAGCCACCTCCAGATGTTAAAAAAAAAATTTTTTTTCAAAGTTTTCTTCTTTAAAATCTACAAATTTTACCCTCAGGCTAAGCAAGAAAAATGTTTTCGCTCCACCCTAATGTATATAACAAAACATCATTTTTTTGTTATTAGTCAATTCAAAATTTGATAATTTATGGGTATTTTAAGATCATCCATCTCAGCAAATCTGGTTTTTCATCAGATCGGGAAAAAATTGAGTGTATTCCACATTAAATATTATTTTATTGCTATCCGTATTCAGTATCCATCATCAACATATATTTTTCTAAAAATTAATTTATAATTCATTACGGTCTAAACAAATGCTCTGTGAAGACTAAGTGTAAAACTTAACAATCGTGGTAACTTTTTAACCTAAATTATTAAGTATCTTCATCATTTCGCTTACACCTTAAAAAATACGAATGGATGTGAGATTAAAGTGCTAAGTAAATAAATGTTTATGGGCATTTAAGGGGAATGTTTTTTTCTAATGATTTATGCGTTTTAAAATGTGTTTGCTTACATAATTCTACGAGTTGCAAATGCATAAATGTACTTGTGTATCTATGTATGTATGTGTATGTGCAATTGAAATCATCACCGTGACTGACTATTTGCGCACAAAAACAAATTCTCACACGCTTGAAGCAAGCTTTACAAAACATTACCGAGTGCACTTTTCGTCAAACGCTGGCTAATTTTAGTGCAATGACATAATTCTAAATTACGAACCTATAAACCTCTCCAACTTGTGCATGATATATTTACTTGAATTTTCTTTAATTTATTTTATTTTTCGTTCACACGTGTGCCTTTTAACTTTTTACTACTTGTTGCATAATTTTCAGCTTGATTAGTTAAAATTCTCGCTCACGTACTACTTATTGCAAAATGTTCATTATTTTTTTCCCCTTTTAGGGTTTTGAGTTACTACTTGTTGCAAAATTGCCGTGGTCAGTTTAAAAAACATTTTTAATATTTCCTGAATAACACCGTGATTAATTTATATGCTCGTCCTTTTGATAAGTTAAAGGGCTTCTGCTGATTGGGTTACGTCAACTGATTAATTCGAAAATTGGTTTAAACTTTATTGTACAACAACCCTTTCTTCCATTTCTCTGCTCTTCATTCCTTATTGTTCAGAAAATGCTCCTGAGCTTGTGATATCAATAGATTTTCTGGCTCTGCATCTGCCGCCGTTAGTTTCCTTTGCTCATATGCCGAGTCTCTCGTAGGCTCGTTCTATAACATATCATTGTAGCGCTTCGGTGCCGAAGCATTCAACTGCCTGGCATTCATGTCAGAGCTCTAGAAATTAAAACAAAATATTTATGTACTTTAACGTTAGGATATTTATTTATGGATATATGCATGTATGATAAATATATATACATTATATAATACATAAAGCTGTATGTATGTATATTTTTGAATGAACATATGTTACTAATAGGCTCCGAAGTTTTTAAAATAGTTTTAGCAAAATCTATTAGGGCGTAAAGAGATACCAAAACACAGAGTGACTCGATAATGTGGATCTGGTATTATCAGTACATTAGTAAATGTGAAAATAATCTACACAGTGCAAAACGAACTATGTTTTACTTTGTCTCTTTGAAACTACTATGAATATTTCAGACCAAAATCTAACTTCTGCCTCCTAGTACAATACATCAATATTCCTTGTATGGAAAAATGCCATTGCGTGGCCATTTACATAACTAGTTGATTCCACTGCACTCGGTAAGTCAGAATCTTAGATAAGCATAGTTTTTTTAATAGAAGTATCGGCACCATTCATACACTAAAATAAAGATAATACTTCAAAAACAAACCTGCTTTATCTGAGCAAAATGTTAAAGCTAGGCTTAAATTTTGCCGATAACGGAGAGATTGGACAATTGCGGACTGGGAAAAGGTTATATGGTCAGATGAGATGAAAATAAATATGTACTTATCAGATGATAGGAAAAGCTTCAGCGTGGACAGGTAGAGCAAACTTTCAAATCCGGCTGCGGCAGTTTGATGATTTGGGGTAGTTTCACGTGGTGGCATATTAGTCCTTTATTTCGAAAAATAGGAATAATAAATTAACGTAAAGAATTTAGTTTTAAGTGTATAAGTGTGAAACTGTCAAAATGACTTGTAATTGGAATTTATCATATATTTTCATTCAGGGATAAAGTAAAGCTGTTGTGTTTTCTATTTTTACGAATATGTTGCTGATACTGCTCGTAAAAAAAGAGTTATAATCGCCCTAAGGCGCATTCAGTAAACATGATTGCCCTTTTTACTACACATAAATTTCCAAATTTCTTTCAATAGTATTTAAAACATATGCCACCGGGTGCACTACCTCAATTTGTATATCTGTCAGTTTCTCAAAATGAGTTCTAAGGAAAACACTTTTAAATATTTTTAAAAGCTCCGAGCAGACAAATTAAAAATGTTTCAACATTATAAATAATGTTATACCTTTGGTAGGTGTTAAGCGAAAAAGATTACTTTTCGAGTGATATCTCCCTATAAATCACTTAAGAAGTTACTAAAATTTCTTGCAAACATTTTAGTATTAATGAAGGAAATTCCTGAAATTTTAGATGTTTGTTCAAAGTTATTAAATTTCTTTAACAAAAAGTATTATTAGAATAATTTGCTTTGAAATGTGTGTTTCCTTTTTACTTTTTCGTTAAGTTTTTACAGTTGCTAAGTTGGTTCCTCTTGGGGTTTTTACCATAGCTGCGAACCGGTTTTGAACCGAACCGCCTCTTTTTACTGGCTTTGAACCGAACCACGAACCAAACCGCTTTTATTTTAAAATGCGCAAATCGAACAGGAAGCGACTCAAGAAAACTTAATATATACGTTTATATTACTATTTACATTTTTATTATAATACCCGACGTGCTTAAAAATGTAACCCTTATGATGAGCTGCCACAATTTTGCTTGAATGCAACGCCATGAGAGGGCATTGTTCACTGTAATTTTAAATAATCGCGTTTGGGTTCTCAGAAGGTTGGAATAATTTTAAAGTGATTATTCTTTTGTAAATATTTTTGAAATGAGCGTGAATCCAGTACACAAAAGCTTTTATTTTGACAAAAATTATTATACAAGTAAGTTAATTCGTTTCAAATTTAAAACAAAAGGTAAAAATACAGCAAATTTTACTAGACACATACAAAGAAAGTACGCCGACGTTTCAGAGAAGATCGTTAGTGAAATTTCGAAGAAGAATTTCCAGAAGCACTCTGCATTAAAATTTCTTTCATTGACGGTTTACATTTTGTCATGACACATATCTACATATATGGAACAGTTTGTTTGAAAGCTTCTGCACTCGAAATGAAAAAATATTGTTTTTGGTACGAAATATATTTTTTTATTCAATATAAAATCCCTTAACTTCAATACACTTATTCCAATGAGCATCCAATAACTTTATGCCATCCCTATAATGACTTTCCGGTAGCTCTGCAAAATGGCCGTCTACAGCTGTAATAAATCCTTTATTCAAGCAAAAATGGTTTTCACGAGGGAATTGTTCAGGTTTCTGAAGAGGTAGTAGTCGCTGGGAGCCAAATCTAATGAATACGGTGGACGCTCAAGCAATTTGTCATTTTATTTTGTCAATGTTAAATTGATTTTGTCATTGTTAAAACACTTTTGTGAGTTTTAATAAACATTTTACAGGAATTTGATCTCAACTACGAAGCATTTTATTTTCGTTCATATATAAGAATATATGTATACGTATGGGTTTTTATACCCTAAACAGGGTATATTAAGTTTGCCACGAAGTTTGTACCACCCAGAAGGAAACGCCGGAGGCCCTATAAAATATGTACATAAATGATCAGCAAGATGATCTAAGCTGATTTAACCATGTCCGTCTGTCTGTCTGTATATATACAAACTAGTCCCTCAGTTTTTAAGCTATCGCTCTGAAATTTTGCACCTTTCCTTTTCTCACTACTCATTTGTCGGAACGGCCGATATCGGACCACTATAATATATAGCTGTCATAAAAACTGAACAATCGGAATCGAGTACTTGTATGGAAAACTTTTTTATTTGACGTAATATCTTCACGAAATTTGGTAGGGATTATTATTTAAAGCAATAACGCAATCTCCAAAGAAATTGTATAGATCGGATGACTATACCATATAGCTGCCATATTAACTGAACGATAGGAATCAAGTGCTTGTAGGGAAAACTTTTTCACTTGACGTGTTATCTTCACGAAATTAGGTACGAGTTATTATTTAAGGCAGCAATGTATTATCCGCCTTTGTATTTGTGAAGCGTATTATAGCTTCGGTGCAACCGAAGTTAACGTTTTTTCTTGTTTCATATAAATTAGTATAATAAACTGAATCATTTGAAACGAACGGAACCGCGGTTCAGATATACTCAGAAACCGGGTTTTAAGCCGGTACAAGTATTTTCTGAGTAGTTCGAACCACTGAACCGAACCGCATCGATTTTTGTAGTGGTTTGCAGCCCTGGATTTAATTAATAAGTCATACTGAATGTAAACGGTGATAAGGACTGAAAACCTACATGGAACACTTCTTATAATAGAGAGAATAAGCCATGGTCTAGAAATATAAGTTCTAGCAGACAATTAAAAAGATTTTAACAGTATTATTCTGTTCTTTCACGTTTTGAATCTCTACATCGCAAGAGTATTGCAAAGCTAATAAAATTACCCAATTATTATAACACATACATATGCCGAATATTGGTTCAATGATTCTTACTTAATTCTCTAGGAAGCTCATATTAAAAATATTGAAGATTTAAAGAAGATTTCTCAATATTACAGGAAAAAATGTTACAACAATGAACAGGGACATACTTAATGGCTCGCCTAAGATATGTACTGGCAACTCTTTTGTCCACGGAAACAGATCAATCTTTAAAATAATTTTATTTAATAATAATTTAATTGAATTACTTTTACAGATCATCTGCATAACATAAAATAAAAGGTAATGTTATAATTTGCGTATTATTCGCGTTTCATAACAGAATTTAAATATTATATTTTTTTTTGTTAAAATTTTAAGTTCTTAAAAATATATTTTTTTTTGTTAAAATTTTAAGTTCTTAAAAATATAAAAAAAATAAATATTGTTGCGCAGACATTTTTTAAGCAAAATTCCTTATGTTTTGTTATCTCGAAACAACACATAGAAAATAAAGTAGAATTTATACTTATGAAGTGAAGCTAGGTTGGATAAGAATTGTAGCTGCAGTAGAAAAAATTTTAATTGTAATTTCTTCTAAAAACAGTTTCGATTCTGGTGCGAAGAAAATCCACAAATTATTCATGAACAACCATTAAATTGACAGTTTGGTGTGGCTTTTGGTCTGGTGGGATCATCGGTCCGTACTTCTTTCCAAATAAAGCTGGTGACACAGTTACTGTCAATGGATAGCAGTATATATTATGGCCGCAATTGGAAGAAGTTGATCTTGAAAACATCGCGCATTATCGCGGGAAAGTTTCGTGATTCGATAATTTCAAAAAATTGTGACATTGATTGGCCACGAAGAAGAAGGTTGATTTAACAAGATTAGACTACTTTTTGTGGAGTTATTTGAAGTCATTGGTATTTAGCAAAAAACCACACTCTCTTCAAGCCATAGAAGTCAATACTGAACGAGCTATTCATGACATACGACTTGATTTAGTGGAAAAAGTACTCGAATACTTGATCGAATTCGATTCTGCAAAAGAAGTCGGGGAGGCAATTTGAATGATGTTATATTCAGAACTTAATTGTATTGATTGTACTTCACATTAAATAAAAAACATTTGAATTTCCTTCACAATTGGTGTGGTTTTTTTTTAATCATATCTCTCTTATTGCAAAACTCTTTACTAATATAAGTATTTTTAAATACTTGGTAAATACGGTTGACTTTATACAATATAGTTTGGTCAATCTTTGAGTTATCTTACTAATCTAATGATATGTCGTAGTGCCTAAATTAGCATTAATAAAACTCATGGAGTACTCTTTTTTGATAATAATACTGGTATGTGGTACGATAATCCTCAAAATGGGGTCAATATTTCCCTTAGCCCCCATACATATATCCAATATAAGAATTTCCATATACTATATATAATTTTCGTTATTTTAGCAGACTCTATACCGCATATATCGGTTAATGTATGAGTTATCTTCCTAAAATTAAAACATGTTACCGCATAAACTTGAGTTATGTCGGTCAATATACATATGTGATATTTCAGGAAATTAAGTAGACAATTATTTGTATCCATTTATTCATTTGGTTTCTTCCAATAATTACTATGCAACATTTTTATACTCTCGCAACCTGTTGCTACAGAGTATAATAGTTTTGTTCACCTAACGGTTGTTTGTATCACCTAAAACTAATCGAGTTAGATATAGGGTTATATATATATATATATATAAATGATCAGGGTGAAGAGACGAGTTGAAATCCGGGTGACTGTCTGTCCGTCCGTCCGTGCAAGCTCTAACTTGAGTAAAAATTGAGATATCTTTATGAAACTTGGTAGACATATTTCTTGGTAGCGTGAGACGGTTAGTATTGCAGATGGGCGTAATCGGACCACTGCCACGCCCACAAAACGCCATTAATCAAAAACAAATAAATTGCCATAACTAAGCTCGGCAATAAGAAACAAGACTGTTATTTTGTACACATTATCACATTAGGGAGGGGAATCTGCAGTTAACATTTTTTTTTTCTTTTAAAGCTGGG